AACAAATACTGAAATTTCTTTCCTTTTTTAATAATACAACCACGCTTGTATTTTGTGTTCATTCACTGTCTACATCGGGAACTTTCGGATCAGTTTAATAACATAACTTATCGTCACTTTTTACAGTTAATTTACTGTGAATAGTTACTATTAAATCATTAGACAAATCTGATCCTACCCTTCAGAAGCCAACTAAAAGTTGTCTGTTGTAATTCCCGAATCACACTTCTAATATGAAGTAATCTTAAGCATGATTGGCTCCCACTTCTGCACCATACCTGTACTTGCGCATCATCGGCGTCGCCAAGTACCCTGCACCAGCAACCCTGGTGTTATATGAATTGGGGCCAAACAAGGCATTTAGGGAATGTCGGGACACTTCAAGAAAGACGAACCCAGTGATTACCACGTCACGTGAAATCATGTAATCATGTAATTATGTCATTTGTTTACTAGCACTAACAAAATCGGCCTAAACTAACTATCATCTAACCATAACATTAACCCTAGTACTAACCCTAACTTAGGACAAACGATTTATCATGTACTGTGATGATCCCTGGGTTCACTGTACTTGAAACTACCCGGAATGGGGAATGTCTGACTGTATATAACTAATTATATAAACAAATTAGATTATGTATATAGTGAAGCGTTTTGGCAATTTAATGAATTACTGTATTATTCTCACTCGGATTTCTTTATTAAACAATATGTAGATACATGATGGGAGTAGTGCTCCTACTTCACTACTTTCTCTTCTGCTATTGCATATTGTGCTCACAATTTCATATTCACAGTTTTCATGTTCACAATTATATGTTCACGTGACGAAGAATGAACGAGAATCGAAAGTACGAGCCAACGCAATGGTATGGCGCCTTCTACTTTCAAGAATCATGAATGAGGATCAAAAGTACGAGCCAGCGCTATGGTATGGCGCCTTCTACTTTCACAAGAATCATGAGTGAGAAATTGAAAGTACGAGCCAACGCTACGGTGTGGCGCCTTCTACTCTCAAAAAAAAAAACTTTTTTTTTTTTTTTCTTTTGCCTATGTTATGCATAATGCATTCACACACTACTCATGATTACGGACAACAGGGCATAAGGTATAATAGGTGAGTGGGGGTGGACGGGTGGGTCTAACACGAAGAAGCCAAATTGAAATCGGGCAGCGAAGAGAACAAGTGAACAAGACAAGCGAAGCAAAAAAGCACTAACTTCCCCAGTTTACGTCAACATGCATTTATAATCTCTATTGCATGCTATTGCATGCATCTTACCATCTCTTTCACATGCAATCTCATGCAAATCTATAACTTCTACCATACAAGCCACAATCAGGGTGATCCTCGTGATAATAACCCTAGCGTAACTAACGTCAACGCATAGGGTTATAACGAACCCTTGAAATTTTTTTTATAAAAACTGTCAGTTCGTTACATCCAGAGCTTATATGCGAAATTAGCTAATGATTTATTTATAACAATAATCATTGTTCATAAATGCATAATATTTCTGTAAGGAATGCCTTTTCTAAAATAAGTTGATTGATGTTATTATATAGAGCTTTGATAATAGAATATTTAATGTCTCAACAATTTATTTTAAAAGGGGTTATTTAATTCATTTCGAAAATCGAAAATCAAACATTGCAATTTTAAGCCACATGAATTTAGTCAACTTACTAATAGTTGCTCCCACTTTGTAAAATAAAGAAGCAAAATTGCGTCACTTCTTTATTCAACGTAAAAGATACATAGCCAGCTCTTCTTTCAGAACCAGCAGACTTTAATAACAAAGTTGGAGGGCCTGAATTTGAGGGTTGGAGTGGTTACCAAGCTGTCAAACCCAGTAATTCTCTAGAAAAGGGCCGCAACATAGCCAAGAGTTGTTTTCGCCATGTGAAGTTAGAGTGCCAGAATTTGAGATAATCCTCTCGATTAGTGCCTGCCAGTAATCAATAGTTGCTCCCACTTTGTAAAATAAAAAAGCAAAATTGCAACACTTCTTTATTCAACGTAAATGATACATAGCTAGCTCTTCCTAGACTTTAATAATAAAGTTAGAGGGCCTGAATTTGAGGATTGGAATGGTTACCAAAGCTATCAAACCCAGTAATTATCTAGAAAATGGCCATGACATAACCAAGAGTTGTTTTCATGTGAAGTTAGAGCGCAAGAATTTGAGACTTAGAGTGGTTATCATGTTGTTAGACCCTCGATCAGTGCAGCTAGTAATCGCGTTGCTCCTAATTTGTAAAATAAGGAAATAAAATAAAGCCAAATATAATAAAAGAGATTAGTAAAATAGAAATAAGGTAAAGAAATATGATTATTATTAAGTAGCTTTTATATTTTTTTTTTAAATGGTTTTTCTGCAGCTGTTTATTACAACGCGACTTGGGAAAAGAACCACGTCTGTATTGTAACAATAACAGAATTTAAATTTATTTTTAGTCATCACGTTAGCTGATGCAAATCAGTGGACCGTTGGGGTGGTCGGTCAACTAATTAAATCAAACTTATATGTAGACCCATAATAATTAGGCAATTTTTTAATATGAATGTATTGTTACACGTATGAATATCACTTTTCAATAGGAATTTATTAAACGAAAGTGATAGATTTTTGAAATTTAACTCCTCTCGCAATATTAACTTTTCAAATTTAAGAATAATATGAACAGAATTAAAAAAGCATGCTCTTTAATTTGTCGTGAGGATTTTCTTTTTGCATTTAAATTTTAATATTTTATAGATTTTTATATAATCTATATATTTATAAAATTTTTCGTAAAATTTTAAATGCAAAAAGAAAAATCCCCACGACAAATTAAAAAGCATGCTTTTTTAATTCGGTTCATATTATTCTTAAATTTGAAGGGTTAATATTGCGAGAGGAGTTAGATTTCAAAAATCTATCACTTTCGTATAATAAATTCCTATTGAAAAGTGATATTCATTCGTGCAACAATACATTTGTACGTATTAAAAAAATTGCCTAATGTTTTTATTATAAGTTTGATTTAATTAGTTGACCGACCACCCCAACGTAGTTGTTTAAAATGCTTAGATAATAATTTTTTTTTATTAATGCAATTAATATGAACAATGTAAATTTGTAGTTCAAGAGAGATCTGCATAACCTGGTACGTACGCTGTAAAAGGGCCCGGGTAACATGATAAAAAAATTTTCTCTTTATTATTTATTTTGTTTATTTTATTTTCGTTTCTATTATTATCATTATGCTAGTATTTGTTATATTTTATTATGAAGTTGGGACAGTATGTGTTACAAAAAAATAGGAAATTCATACCTGGGACAATTTGCACCTGGTACAATTTGTTACTGGGGCAATTTGCACCTGGTACCATTTGTACCTGGGGCGATTTGCACCTGGTCGTCTAAGCCAGGTATGATTCATAACGACCATTTTCTTGTAATCTAAATAGAACAGTAATGTAAATTAGTAAAATGCAATATTATGTACGCAGCATTAGTCTAAAGTTTATAAGACCCACATTTTCGCTTCAATAAAGACAGATTCAGAGAGTCAAGTAGAGTTTGACTCAGTTAGTAGAACCCGATTGGAGTTCGACACTGAGAAGCGTATACCCTACTAATTCCCCCCCCCCCCAATTAGTAAAATTTGTATGAGAAATAGTAGTTAGTCTCGTGACTCCAAAGCCTCGTGACATAATATAAAGCTCTAATCTAACACCCTAATTACTTGGACCAAATCTCACCACGCCTTGATCGTAGCCTACTACTATTCGTAGATTGTGTGTTTAGTGTGTTGGTTATATTAGTTTTAGTGCCGATTGATACCTGTATTACTATAGTTCCCGATTCCGGACGATTTTTCACTTTTACAACGTACATACATACAGATTTTTTATACCACTGCTTTCCAATGTAGTTACTTATTTTACAATTTTAACGTTACGTACGTATGCCAATTTTTAATTAATGGAAATTTGAAAGTGTCGTAAATCTTTTAATAGTTGGTAACTTTGGTTTGAAAATTTTTCTTTCACAACAGTACGTATTATCATGATTTCTATACATCCGTCCTAATTTATATTCCGTACTGTATTACTTTACTATATGCTCATTTGAAGTACGAAAAATATTGTTTCTTACAAGGTTTTTATTTCATATTGCAGTGATTTTCATTATTTTTTGTATTTTAATTAATTTCTTATTCGATGTTTGTGATATTTCGAAGAGGTCTTATTAGTTGAGTTTTGTGAGGTTCGTGTTCCATAAAATCTTCAATAGGATAACCACAGTTATGTTTATTCAACTGAATATTCAACTTTTCAATAACTCCAATTTAACTAATTTAAAGGATTAAGAGCCTGTTTTTTGTGTTTAGATGAGTTTTAAAACAGCTAAAAAGCGATCTATATTTTGAATAATAAATTATACTTTCATTTTTTTCGGTCATTCGACCATTCACATAGCTGTCAACATTTTTTTAAAGGCTTGAAACGAAAAAATGAATAATTAATTAATAAAGCATTTGAAGCCATTTTGCAAAGAAAAATAAAAAATCAAAATTTTTTAAAAAACATTTTTTAAATAATTAAATACTTTTATTAATCATACTTAAGATTTGATATATTTATGTTACATTTTAATCGGAATTTTGAAAGTGATGTCTTATAATTTTTCGTACGTCTGTCTGGATTTATACTGTTATACAGTACTACTTTACTGAATACCTCTGATACTAGGGATATAATAATAGAAATGGTAGTATTATACGGTACTATACGTACCGATAATACGTATCATTCCTGACGGCTCTAGCAGTGAACTACGTCTACAGGGAAATACAAGGAAATCACCGGAAAATCATTTTATAGAAAAGGTTAAATC